ACAGGACTTATTATTTACTGGACATGTGACCAAAAAACACAATGCAGGTGCATTTTTGGCAAGTTGTTCTATTTATTTCAATGGGGAGGTGCATTTTTGGTGCATTTTTTTTACCACCAAACCTGCATCAAAAATGCAGCAATAGGATTTTAAAAAAAGAACCAGACCTGCAACAGGTCAGTGTGAAGAGCTCTATAGGAATACATGGTCATCAGGGGCGGACTGACAACTCATGGGGCCCTCGGGCAATAGGGGATCATGGGGCCCCTGTGTCTGGATTCAGAACATCCTTATACAGTGGGAGGAGCCTGAACATGGCGGCTGCGGGGAGCGAGTGGCTCTAGCTTGCTGCTAGGACCCGCTTCCCGACCTCCCTAGGGACCCGCTAAAGAAACCGCCTCACCGGAGTCTGGAGGGCAGTCGAGCTGAGCCCGGAGAGCCGGGGATGGCCGTGAGACGGAGGCTGTAGAGATGCGCCGGTTCCCCCGGCGCTGTGTAGAGAGAGAGATCCAAGCGGCTGGGAAGTGAGGTGACGTGGAGGGCGCACGTGACCAGCCGCGGAGGATCTCTGGGGGAAAGCAGAGACCGGCCGGCGTCCTGATATGACAGGGAGCTGCCGCTCCTCTGTTTACCGGCTTTTTAGGGCTCATAACCCCCGGCTTGCTGCTGAATATAACCATCGGCCGGCTGATTGATCCTGGGCCAGGGAGACCCGGGAATACCAGAAGACCCACCCTGCGTCCCTGGGGCGAAGTTTAGAGAAAAAAGCGAAGCACAGCATCGGAGACCCAGAGGACTCCCCCCCAGGACTGAGCTGATGTGAAGGACCTACATCCAAGCCTGGAGCCGCTGTCGGGGTGAGTGAGAGCTGATGTGAGCTTGTGGTGTAATAGACCCCTAAGTGACAGTGGGGGACAAAGGGGCTAAGGAGGTGAGGGGAGGATTCCCTGAGTCTAGAAGAGAACAAAAGAAGAGCCCTGGGTGCTTTAGGAGAACAAAAAAAAAATAAGGAAAAATTATAAGTATATCTGGTCCACAAATCATAAAGAAGCGGTATAACCCCACCTAGAGAATATAGAAGACAAAAGACATATAGAGGATATGAAGAATAAAGGCCCCAAGGGAACAGGGGCTCAAAGGGTCTCAAACAGGCACGATAAAGAAATTTACATCACATGGAAATATTACGCCAGAAAGGGCCCAAGGCGCAAGTGCAAAAGAGGAAATGGACATTAGCTTAAGGAAATAGCCCTAGATTATCACTGGATATTAATAGCTCCTGTAACCAACAAATAGCGGTTGGCTTGGGGAAACAAGATCGTGATGGTGAACTACAAGTACCAAATAAGAAGGAGAGATGATAGAAATGTTTTCTGGAAATCTGGAGAAAATGATAAAACATGAAATGACAGCTATTCGCAATGATTTAGGACATTTGCTATTGAGAATAGAAGAAACAGAGGAGAAAGTTAAAACCTAGGCCCAAACCATAGATAATCTATGGAAAAAAACAATCCATCTGGAGAAAACTCAGAAAAAACTGCTCTATAGGATGGAAATTCAAGAAAATAAAGAAAGAAGGAGTAACCTTAGAGTACGAGGAATCCCAGAGTCTGCAAAAGGGGAAACATTATATGAACTAGTTAATAAAATTTTAAATTTCATAAGAGACAGACCTGAAACAGATGGGATCAAACTAGATGGAGTGTTCAGAACAGGAAAGTTCAAACAAGCTAATGAGAAAGAAAGACCGAGAGATATAATTGTCCAGTTCCAAAAATTTGGGGTCAAAGAGGAGATATGGAAGAAGATTAAGGGAAGATCAGTGATTAAATATGGAGACTTGACTATCCAAATTTATGCGGATTTAACATCAGAGACTCTTTGGAGGAGGAGATCCCTGAGACCCCTGTTGGAGCAAATGAGAAATCAGAATGTGCAGTATAGATTGGGGTAATGCAGCATCTCTAATTGGATGGAAAAATGGGGTTACAGCTTATCTGAGATTCCCGGAAGAACTGAGAGACTTTTGTGATAGACTGGACTTGCAAAGAGTGGAGATAGCTGGGTGGGAAGAAGAAGAAGAAGGAAGAGGAGCTACGGCTGATACAAGAAAAGAGGACTGGCAGCGGGTGGGGGGGAGAAGCAGGGAGGTCCAGGGGTTGGTGAGAGAAGGGAGAGAGAATTAAGTAAATAATATGATGTTTTTTTCCCTTTTTTTTTTTTTTTTGTTGTTTCTCTCCCATCTTCCCCTGCCCCACCCCTGACGTTGTGGAAGCCCGTCAGGAAGCTCCGGTTAAGGGGGGGAATAAAGGTTATTGTCGAGCCCAATTGACAGAGAAAGGGGGATCTGGGGAGGTCGGAGGAGAGGTAGCCGTCCATGGGCGGAGCTTACTCCCAAAAAATTTTAAATCAATCGTGGAGTTGGATCCACAAATGATTTGTAGGCAGTTGTAAGCCTAAAATGGGTAGGGGAAAAATAAGGAAGGGGGGTGGAGGAGGTGGGGTGAGATGGGGATTGGGGGGAGTACGGGGATGGGTGAGGGAGTTAGGGTGGGAGAGAGAGTAGGGGGAGGGGAGGTTGGGCTAATATTCTGCAAGATAGTAGGGCTTTGTCAGGGATCTCCTCGATCCCTGCCGCGATGGTCCTGGCGCAGGCGCACAGCCTCCGCCCTGTACACGGGCACTAGGTATCCGGGCCGGCCGCGGCGTTCGAGTTCGCGCATGCGCAGTAGAAGCCGCAGCCGCCCGCTGGGCACCAATTGGCAGCGCAGGGCGGGATATTTAAAGGTCCCTGAGCTGTCATTTCTTTGCCTCTGGTCTTACCTGCTTCCTGTGATCCTGTACCTGTGCCTAGTAAGTTTATTGACCCGATTGTTTATTGACCTGCTGATTTCTCCTGCCCAGACCCTTGCTTGCCTGACCTCTCTCCCTGGATGCCCTCATTAGATCTGACCTCCTGTTGCTGACCTGGCGTGTGACCCGACGATTCTCTGCCTGCTCCCTTGTACCTTACCGTCCTCTACTTTACCGACTCGGCCTGTCTGACTACGCACTTGCTCAGCCATCCCATCCATCCATCCCATCGGGGTCACCCGACCTCCTCACATCTGGCTCTCCCTGGTTGGAGCCCCTGGCGAACACCCCTACCACTGACAGGTGTGCCCAGTAGAGGCGACCTGGTCTCGGGGTACTACAAGTCCATCCCCACCATCAGGGGCCTTGGTTGTCAGGAATGGACTGGCCAGCTATGGTGGGACTCACCTGCCTTTTGATCTGCAGTACCAGGGCTGGCCAGCGGGTGTTCCCAGCAATCAGAGACTCAACTTTGCAGCCAGCTAACACCTGTAACTGATTATGCTGGGGTATTAAAGGGATGGCCAGACCCACAGACTCTGCCTTGGTGTGTGTTTGTCCTGGGCCCTGTATCCTGTTTCTGTCCTGCATCCTGTTTCTGAACCGCTGCTGACTTCTCCTGCTCTGATCCCGGCTCGCTCCTGACCATCCCTCTGTCTGACCCTCTGTACCACGCTGCTTGCTACCTGTTCTGATCCCTGGCTTGTGACCCTGACCAATCTCCGCTTGCTCCCCCCTGTACCTACCTGCCCTATTGATATTGACCCGGCCTGCCTGACGACGCTTGCTTGTATGTACTGTTATCTGTGGGTGGTTTGGTTTGTTTGCACTGTATTATGTTTTAGTATTGCACTGCGTTATATGTTTGTATTGTTAGTGTTAATAAATTATATTGTTTATAACATATCTGAGGTCTGCGTTTCCCTGCGTCAGTCACACATCTCTGGTCACACCTGGGAGCCCTGACATTACACCAAGGCCAATCCTGACCAGAAGTGGCTGCACAGGGAAGCCATCTTGGCTTGTTGATGGGAAGGATGGATCTGGATGAGGTTGAGTATTTATCTCTGCTAGTGCTTGATGACAGAGAGTATGCTTATCAGACTCTGAAGGAGTATCCCCGGGGATGAACTGCTAGAATGTATACGGCTCGCTATCATGTTCTAGTAGATCAGGGCACAGATTTCTCTATGGTGCAGCCATTGATTCAGGTTTGTGTTGAGTTGGTTTCATCTGGTTCCCCCGAATGCAGGGATGAATTTTTGCCACCATTTAGTGCAGACCAGGTTGAGTCCCTGGTGTGGTTATTAGAGGATGATGTGGGTTACTTTCTGGAGCGTTATTCCACATGTTCACCACAGACACTAAGAGATTGTATAAACGCAGTGCAGTCATTGACCAGACAGGCTTTGTGTAAGCTCAGCTTTGTTCAACCCCTACTGCAGACATGGACAGACTTGTTGCACCCAGCCTCAGTCAGCTTACAAAAAACCCAGTCCTGCTTCTAACTCTACTTCCTGTATTCCCACCAGCTCCTCCAGTTACAGCCCAGTATACTTGGCTATCTACCGCATGTCAGTACCTGTTCCCACTCGCTGCACCTATCCTGCCCTTTAACCCTGTAAAAAAGCCCTCTGTAGCAACTGCTCCCTCTCCTGTTCCATCCTCCAGTTTTTCTCTGTCTCCAGCTGCTCCATTTCGTTTGCAGACCTGCGTTTACTTGCAGTGCTCCAGTAGTTAAAACCAGAAAAAAGCGAAAATTCTTTCCAACCAATACCATCCTGCCCCAGTACCCAAACCGGTGAACCTGCCTTTCCGTGACTCAGACCTGATGCCTCTCTTCAGCCGGATGCCCCTCTCTTCAGCCGGATGCCTCCTCCTTTGCCAGCCGGATTGCCTCTCTCCTCAGGCGGATGCCTCTCCTCAGCCGGATGCCTCTCCTTCAGCCGGATGCCTCTCCCTCAGCCTGATGCCTCTCCTCAGCCTGATCCTCTCCTCAGCCTGATGCCTCTCCTCAGCCATGATGCCTCTCCTCAGAAAAAAAAAAAAAAAAAAAGCCTCCCCTCAGCCTGATGCCTCTCCTCAGCCTGATGCCTCTCCTCAGCCTGAAGCCTCTCCTCAGCCTGAAGCCTCTCCTCAGCCTGAAGCCTGCATTCAGCCTGATGCCGCTCACTCAGCCTGATGAACTGATCCAGCCCGACGATCCTATTCAGGCCAGTTGACTCGATGCCCGCTGTTGATCCAGATGATCCGGTACCTGATCCAGTGCCGCGCTGTCGTGCCAATTGACTCAGAGCCCGCTGTCCATACCTGGTGACCCGGTGCCCACTGCCTTGCCAGATGACGCGGTGCCCGCTGGCAAGCCCAATGACCTGATGCCTGGTGACCCAGTGCCCGCTGTCATACCTGGTGACCCGATGCCCGCTGTCGAGCCAGACAATCCGATACCTGATGACCCGGCGTGCCCACTGTCGTGCCTGTTGACTCGGAGCCCCACTGTCTTGCCAGACGACTCGGTGCCCCGCTGTTCCGCCAGTCGACCTCGGTGCCCGCAAGCCAGTCTTTGCCAGACGACTCGGTGCCCAGTGCCAGTCTTGCCAGACGACTCGGTGCCCGCAGTCTTGCCAGACGACTCGGTGCCCGAGTCTTGCCATGACGACTCGGTGCCCGCAGTCTTGCCAGACGACTCGGTGCCCGCAGTCCCGCCAGTTGACTCGGTGCCCGCTGTTCCGCCAGTTGACTCGGTGCCCGCAGTCTTGCCAGACGATTCGATGCCCGCATGTCTTGCCAGACGACTCGGTGCCCGCAGTCTTGCCAGACGACTCGGTGCCCGCAGTCTTGCCAGACGACTCGGTGCCAGCAGTCTTGCCAGACGACTCGGTGCCCGCAGTCTTGCCAGACGACTCGGTGCCCGCTGTTCCGCCAGTTGACTCGATGCCCGCAGTCTTGACCAGTTGACTCGATGCCCGCAGTCTTGCCAGGCGCTACTCGGTGCCCGCAGTCTTGCCAGACGACTCGGTGCCCGCAGGTCTGGCCAGACGACTCGGTGCCTGCTGTTCCGCCAGTTGACTCGGTGCCCGCAGTCTTTTGCCAGACGACTCGGTGCCCGCAGTCTTGCCAGACGACTCGGTGCCCGCAGTCTTGCCAGACGACTCGGTGCCCGCAGTCTTGCCAGACGACTCGGTGCCCGCTGTTCCGCCAGTTGACTCAGATGCCCGCTGTTCCGCCAGTTGACTCGGTGCCCGCTGTTCCACCAGTTGACTCGGTGCCCGCAGTCTTGCCAGACGACTCGGTGCCCGCAGTCTTTGGCCAGACGACTCGGTGCCCGCCAGTCTTGCCAGACGACTCGGTGCCCGCAGCCTTGCCAGACGACTCGGTGCCCGCAGTCCCGCCAGTTGACTCGATGCCCCCGCTGTTCCGCCAGTTGACTCGGTGCCCGCAGTCTTGCGCAGTTGACTCAGTGCCGCTGTTCCCGCCAGACGACTCGGTGCCCGCAGTCTTGCCAGACGACTCGGTGCCCGCAGTATTGCCAGAAGAGACTCTCGGTGCCAGCAGTCTTGCCAGACGACCTCGGTGCCGCAGTCTTGCAAGACGACTCGGTGCCTGCAGTCTGCCAGACGACTCGGTGCCCGCAGTCTTGCCAGACGACTCGGTGCCCGCTGTTTTCCGCCAGTTGACTCGATGCCCGCAGTCTTGCCAGACGACTCGATGCCCGCAGTCTTGCCAGAGCGAACTCGGTGCCCCGCAGTCTTGCCAGACGACTCGGTGCCCGCGCAGTCTTGCCGAGACGACTCGGTGCCCGCAGTCTTGCCAGACGACCTCGGTGCCCGCAGTCTTGCCAGACGGCTCGGTGCCTGCTGTTCCGCCAGTTGACTCACGATGCCGCGCTTGTTTTCCGCCATGTTTTTGGACTCGGTGCCCGCAGTCCTTGCCAGGACGAATCTCGGTGCCCGCAGTCTTGCCAGACGACTAACGGTGGCCCCGCAGCCTTGCCAGACGACTCGTTGGCCCCGCTGTTACGCCAGTTGACTCGGTGCCCGCTGTCCTTGCCAGTTGATCATCGGATGCCCGCTGTATCCGCCAGACGACTCGAGTGCAAGCAGTCTTGCCAGTCCGACTCTGTACCCGCAGTTCTTGCCAGACGACTCGGTGCACCGCAGTCGTTGCCAGACGACTCGAGCCACGCTGTTCCGCAGAACGACTCGGTGCCCGCCAGCCTCTGCCAGAACGTACTCGGTGGGCACGCTGATTCCGCCAGTTGGACCTCGTTGCCCAGATGTTCCGCCAGTTGACTCGGTGCCCGCCAGTCTAGCCAGACGACTCGGTTGCCCACTGTCGTGGCCTGGTGACTCGGTGCCCCGACCGCTTACGTCTGGGGGCCCAAGACCTGTTGCTCTCCGCCTGAAGGTCCCGAGACCAGTCGCTCCATCTGGGGGTCCGGCGCCCGCCGCCGCTCCGCCCTGAGGGCCCGAGAACTGTAGCTCCGCCTGGGGATCCGGCGCCCGCCGCTACTCAGCCTGGGGGCCCGATGCCTGTCGCCCATGCCGGTGGGCCCGATGCCTGTCCGCCCAAGCCCCCACCCCTGGGGGCCCCGATGCCTGTCGCCGCCTCGCTGGGGGTTCCGTTGCCTGTCGCTCCGCGCTGAGGGCCCGATGCCTGTCGGCCCCTTCTGGGGAGTCCCGGCGCACCGCTCGCATCACCGCCTGAGGGGCCCCGAGACCTGTAGGTTACGCCTGGGGGGTCAGGCGCCCCGCCACTCCCGCCTGGGGGCCCGAGGCCTGTCGCCCCTGCCCGGGGCCCGTGCCCTGTCCTCTGTCGCCCTGCCCGGGGGCCGTCGGTGCCTGGTTGCCCCGCCCGGTGGCCCGGTGCCTGTCGCACCCGCCCGGTGGGGACGGTGCCTGTCGCCCGCGCCGGGGGCCCGGATGCCTGCTGCTATCGCCTGGTAGCCCCCCCCCCCCCACCCCCCCCGATGTGCCTCAGCCCGGAAGTCCTGCCCGCTGTGCCTCTGCCCGGGGTCCTGCCCGATGTGCCTCTGCCCGGAGGCTCCTGCCCGACTGATGCCTCTGCCTGCCCGAGTCCCTGCCCGATGTGCCTTCTGCCCCGATGTCCTGCCCGATGTGCCCTGCCCGGAGTCCGGCCCCGATGTGCCTATGCCCGGATGTACGGCACGAAGTGCCTCTGCCCGGAGTCCCCGGCTCCGATGTGCCTCTGCCCGGAGTCCAGGCCCGATGGGCCTCTGCACGGAGTCCCGGCCCTGAATGTGCCCTTCTGGCCCGGAGTCCGGCGCCGATGTGCTCGCTGCCCGATGTTGGTCCTCTGCCCGGAAGTCCAGAGCCCGATGTGCCCTCTGCTCCGGAGTAACCTAACGCTGCCCCGGTAGTCCTGCCCGGTGGGTGCCCTGTCTTTGATAATCCCGCCAGTTTACCAGACCCTGGGCGGTGGAACATTTTTCCCTGCTAGGACTGTTTGGAGTGTCCTGAGGCCCGCTCCTTGATGTGGGGGTTACTGTCAAGGAATGGGACTGGCAAGCTATGGTGGGACTCACCTGCCTTTTTGATCTGCAGTACCCAGGGGCTGGCCAGCGGGTGTTTCTCCAGCAATCAGAGACTCAACTTTGCAGCCCAAGCTAACACCTGTAAACTTGAATTATACTACGGGGTATTTAAGGGATGGCCAGACCCACAGACTCTGGCCTTGGTGTGTGGGTTTGTCCTGGGCCCTGTATCCTGTTTCTGTCCTGCATCCTTTTTTGAACCGCTGCGACCTCCTCTCTGATCCCGGCTCGCTCCCACCATCCCCTGTCTGACCCTCTTACCAAAAGTGCTTTCTACCTGTTTGATCCCTGGGTTGTGACCCTGACCAAACTCCCTTGCTCCCCTGGGACCTACCTGCCCAAAAATTTA